AAAACCTAGGGACAGATGAGGAGGGCCTGTAGAGAAAATGTTAATACTGGCCCAGTGTTTATCTGCTTGCAAAGGGTTTTAGTTTCCCAAATTGGTATCATCTACTGAGACTCTGAATTGGACCAGGGCCTCTGATTATTCTTTATGTACTTATTCTATCTCCCTAATTCTGGTTCATTAGCACATGTATCTTTCTTGGTGCTCTCTCCTCTCAAGATTAATCTAGGATTTACTTTGTTCGTGTCTGTGATGTTGACTAATGAGAAGGGGGTCTTATAAAAGAGGAACATATACCATCTTGATGGCTGACTTTTTAAAATTGAGATATAATTGACCTATAACATTATATTAGTTTTACGTATACAACATGCTTTGATATTTGCATATTGTGAGAAATAAATGACCACCACAGTAAGTCTAGTTAACATTCATCTCCATACACAGTTACAAAAATTTATTTTCTTGTGATGAGAGCTTTCAAGGTCTACTCTTTTAGCAACTTTCAAACATACAGTACAGTATTGTTAACCACAGTTGTCATGCTGTACATTGTATCCCCATGATTTATTCATTTTGTAAGTGGAAGTTGGTACCTTTTGACACATTTCTCCAGTTTCACCCCTGCCCCACCACTTCTGGCAACCACCAAGCTGTGCTTTATATCTATGAGTGGTTTTTCGTTTTGTTTTGTTTTTAGATTCCACATGTAAGTAAGATCATAATATCTGTCTTTCTCTGTCTCACTTCGCATAATGCCCTTGAGATCCTCTTATGTTGTCAGAAAAAAATTTTTTTGAAGATTTTATTTATTTATTTTTAGAGAGAAGGAAAGGGAGGGCGAAAGAGAGGGAGAAAAACATCAATGTGTGGTTGTCTCTCGTGAACCTCCAGCTGAGGGCCTGGCCAGCAACTCAGGCATGTTCCCTGACTGGGAATCGAATTGGAAACATTTTGGTTCTCAGGCTGGCACTCAGTCCACTGAGCCACACCAGCCAGGGCATGCTGTCAGAAAATTTTTTGATAAGATTTTTTGTTACAAAAACCAATGTACGGAGTGGGGCAAAAGTAGGTTTACAGTTGCTTATATGGAAAATACAATAATAAATAATAATACAAGGATAAACTCTGAGTTGTGCATACTCACAACTATAAACCTACTCTTGCCCCACCCTGTATGCTCACAGTAGAAAAATACAGATTAAAAAGAAAAAGACCATCTACATCACTCACCTAGATAACCATAGTTAATCTTTGCATACAAACAGATAAACAGAGAGAATCTCAAATTTGTGTATGATACTTTATGTTCATTTATTGTAAAAAATAATTATATTATGTATACTGTGTATTTCCTCCCAATTTGGCAGATTCCAAAAGAATCCTTTCAGCAGTTATATGTCTGAAATAGTTAGTAATGGCTGCATAATATTTTGTTACATAGATATACCAAACTTCTCTATTTTGAAAATCAGTTTTAGTAAATAATCCCTTACTGAAAAACACTAGGAATACTTCTAATTTTTAAAATGATTTTTCAAGCAAATAAAGGATTGGGTATGGTCAAAAAGTCACTCCAAAGTTTAAATCTCAATAATTGAGGAAATAAAGGACATAATGAAAATCTTTGACTACTATACTTGATAGTCACCAGTGGAATCACCCTGCAGTCTGAAAGCCTTTATCTCATAAAGAAAAAAGAGAGATACACCTTTATAAAGTTTCCTAAATTGTCTATCACAAATGACCAAAGGTTATGGCAGACATTGTTTCTGGGTTGATGGTATGGATTATACTCATTCATTTTACTTAAAAGAAAAACAGAAAAAAGTATCTGTCCTAAGATCAGTAAGTCCAGAGTGAAAAATAAGTTTCCTCAAATAAATTCAGAATGATAAAAAATTTCATAAAATAAAACCCAGAAATGTTTTTCTATAGACTTCAAGACATTGACAATTACATTTAATTTTTACTTTTGAGTTGAAAACAATGTGGGCAAAAGTATTTACAATGAAAAAATAAAGATTTTTCTAAACACATAACAAAACTGAAAACATGTAAAAATTAACTCCATATGACAATAACCCAACAGGCTGAAATAAATTTAAAAACCGAGAAAAATACTGCAACATGTGACAAATAATTAATATTTCTTTTTTTTTTTTAGTATGTAAGCACAGTTTATTAGTGATATGTTCTCATGGAGGAGAACAGACCTAGCCTAGGTGGGTAAGAAAGGCACAGGCACTTGGCCTCTGTCCTGAGGACCTGCATAATTGTGAGGTGGGGCGAAGGAATGAGTATGGGCTTGGTGAGAGAAGGTGGTGCATACTCCTCCAAGGGAGGGCATGACCTCCTAAGCATAAGTATGGGTGGGAGTTTGTTAACTCAGATTTCCATCTTGCTTCAGACCACCTCTTGTTATCCTTTTAAAAATGGATACATGGCTGGAGGTAGTTAATCGAAGTTATTTAAGAGCTTTTCCTGCAAGTACTATGGTCCCCCTCCCAGCCCTCCTCCTTCTCCTAAATTTCCACCTAACATTTTACCCGCTCAAGCATTAGGAACTCAAATCTTTGGAGACTTCAGGGTGACAAATGCTCTGGCTACTTCCTGCTGTAAAGGGACATTGAGACTTGTTGGGGTTCTGTCTACTTGCTAACTACTGATTGGAGGAGGTTGAGGGAAATGAATAATTAATATTTCTTAACATACAAATGAAAAATCAAAATAATTCCCTAACAGCTAAATAGCTGAGGACATGAAAATGCAATTTGCAAAATAAATAAAAATGAGCAACCAACATGAAATACATTGAACCTCAGAGAAATTAAAAATCCCATCTTGGTGAGGGTGCCCCATGCAAGGAAGACAATGTAATTCAGAAGGACAATTTGCAGTTAAGTATCAAAATATAAAGTATATATATCTTTTGAGTCATTAATCTTACTTCTAGGAATTAACCCTAATAAAACAATTATATATAGCATTATAATTATATACTGCAGTATTGCTTATTATATAAGATAAAGAAAGTAAATCAACTGTCTATGAATGGAGAAGGAGTGAAATAAATTATGGTATACAAGGTACATACAACAGAATAGCATGCAGCTATTTAAAAAAATATCAATGGTGGACATACATTTCTTGATGTGGAAAGCCATCCATGAGACTGTGAGGTTTTCAAAATAAGGGAGTCAGAGCATGGAATATATGGTGTGATCTTATTAATGTCAAAAGTTACATAGATTGTTACACAGAAATGTCTGAATGGATGGTCTCCAAAAAGTTAACAGTGAGTTCTGGTGATTTTCACATATATCAGGATAATTTTCTGGATTTAAAATATTATTATAAACATGTGTCATTGTTATAAAAAGAGACTCATAAATTATGACAGACTCAACTGTCTTATTCCCAGTGATTAGTTTTATCTATATCTAGTTTGGCTATCAAGGACAGCTGGCTAGTTAATGTTTGCTTTGTTAATTTGGTAAACACAGTATAACAAAGAATCTGTCTGGTTTCAGTCTGGGGTTCCTGGCAGAAGCTTCAGAAGCCCTTGGAATTTCCTAAGTGATAGTGTCTTTGTTTTGCTAATGAGTTGACTCCTAAAGGGCCCCAAGATAGCTTCAGCATTGGGACTTTTAGCCATTGAATTCCAGGGAGTAAAGGGAGGTTTGAAAATGATGCGGCCAATGTTCCAATCAGTGATCCCTGTGTATGAAGTCCCAATAAAAACTTTGGACACCAAAGGTCAGTGGAGCTTCTTGGCTAAAGAACACATTGATATTCTGGGAGAGTAACTACCCTGACATCACAGGGAGAAGATACGGAGTTTTGTATTCCCTCCCAGATTTCACCCTATGTCTATCCTTTATAATAAAATTGTAACAGCACCTTACTGAGTTCTATGAGTCACTCTTGTAAATTATTACACTGTAGGAGAATTGTCAGAACCTCCCAACTTGTAGCCAGTTGGTCAGTTATGTGTGGCCTGGAGAACACCCACCCTCCACCTCAGACTTTTGGCTCATCTAAAGTAGGGGTGGTCTTGTGAAGGACTTTGCACTTAACCTGTGAGGTCTACTCTAACTCCAGGTAGTGAAGTGTCAGGATTGTACTCATATTGCAATACACCCAGTTGGTGTCAGACCAGTTGGGTTGACAAAGAACAGTAATAATAATCCTAAGTAATGATATAATACTTTTTTATATAACTGATACTTTTGAGAGTAGAGGAGATGTAATAATCTGGTAAATGGCCAAAGGCTTTGTTGATCAGGTTTTATGATTTTTATGCAACAATAAAATGCAAGAAATGTTTATCCTTCTTGGGTACCCACATGTCTCCTTAGCTGTGCCATTCATGCAGCTCTGTCAAGCATTATTCCCACACATGGTATACCTCTTTTAAAGCCCTCATTACTGTGTGCTGCAGTTGTCTATGTCTCTCCCTCATATACTGAACTGAATTCCAAAGCAGGAACCACATATTAATCACGTTGTATTCTTGGAGCCAACCACAGTATCTGGTCTTGAGCATGGTTTTGAGACCAGCAACCTCAGTGTCTATCTTCCTGTCTGTCTGGGTAACAGTCTGATCTTGCTGGGCCAAGAGCACAGCAAATGTCTTATCAGTTTGGTAAATGAATGACTGAGTCAATGAAATAGCTCTGTACACAAAAGAACACTTCCATGAAGGAATGTGCTTGAGTAGGTGCTTTGGTTTTAAACTTCCTAGCTTTTCTGAATTCTTCTCTCTATTCAACTAAACACTGTGTCAGGTAGATCAGAGAAATAAGTGACTTCTGTAGGGAAATAGTAAACAAAAATAAGAATTCCTTTATACACAATAAGAAAAAAGAGAATGATGTCAAATATTTTTTCTCTTCTCTTAGATCTTTGTAGTCTCTTATTACGATAGAACATTAGAAACCCAGGTTGAAAGGCTAACTTTTCTTGATAGTTGGAATTCTTTTAACAATTTATCCATTTACCTTTTAATCTCGCATCACCCCCAAAGGCACCACAGCCCCAGTTTCCTGTGGCCACTGCAGAAAGATTCTCTGAAGGAACTCCAGGACGGAGAAATCCACAGTAGGCCTGAAGGATTAAAGAAATATCAAAGCATATGAGTTATTAAACATGAGCACTCTTTCTGGCTACATGTAATTGGATCTTTCTTCATTATCCAGTTTATGTTATCTTGCTCTCTTTTTTCCCCTTAGGTGTCAAAATACAAAGAAAACCAGAAAATCGTGGCTTACACAGAGAGTAAGAAATGATCAGTTCTAATATTTATTTGCTTTGATGCTAGACAAATCAAAGCCCTTAAACAAATACAGCTCTCATTTTCTTGTTCTGATTCAGAGACATATAAATAGAAATGTCAGAGATATTCCAAGAACTGATAGTATCGTAATTACGAACAAACTAAATGAAGGAAAGACACTTAACACACTTTTATTTGAAGGCCTTTTAAAAAAATAATTTTATTTATTTTTAGAGAGAGGAAAAGGGAGAGAGGAAGAGAGGGAGAGAAACATCAATGTGTGAGAGAAACATCAATTGGCTGCCTCTTGCACATGCTCCAACCAGGGACCTGGCCTGCAATCCAGGCACGTGTCCTGACCAGGAATTGAACACGTGACGTTTTGCTTTTCGGTATGACATCTCACCAACTGAACCACATCTGTCAGGGCTACTTGAAGGCTTTCTTTTCCCCATTAAGGTAAAAGGTTGTTACTAAAATGTTTCCTCAGCATTCTTTCTCTGAATTATTGGTACCAGATTAGTAACTGTGAATAGCTTTTTTTTTTTTTTTTAATTATTGATTTTTGAGAGAAAGAGAGAGATTGATTTGTTGTTTTACCTATTGGTTGATTCGCGTATCTGCCCTGATCAGGGATAGAACCCATAACCCCGGTGAGTCAGAACACTGCAACCAACTGAGCAACCCAGCCAGGGCTGTGGATAGCTTTTAAATGTGTTTCCTGCCACTAAGATGCTTAACAGTGAGCAAGCAACTATATTACAAAAGGGATTCCTACACCTGGCTGCAAAATAACCTTAAGATTCATTCCAGGTCCAAGATTTTCTAGTTTCACAGCTCTGTTTTAAACTAGTATATTTAAAAATATTCCTCAGTAACCTGAGAAAAGAACAATATATCCTGAGGATGCTGGCTAAGTACCAATTACACGAACAGTTCATTTGACTGTTTAAGGGAAGGTTGCAGTTTAAGGTTCCAGAGTTTCTGATTTTCATTTTTTTGCTGTCAGCCTAGTTGGTCCTTCTGCTTCCTAAGGGTTCTTACTTTTCTAAAACTATCAGACTATATTAAGATGTTGAATACAAGAGGAAAGCAAATCTCTCTGGATTCTCTCAAGTATGAAATAAAGCCAAAAATATAGCTTATGTATAATAGTAAATAAAGTAAAAACGATCTGTGACAAATGTTCCCAGAGAAAAAACAAAGATAAAGAAAGATGTTCTATGAAACACACACATAGAAATATGGTAAATTGCTCTGTGAAATTTCCACAAAAGTATAAAAATTTATTTTACCCACTCTCTGAGGGGATTAACAAGGCTATTCCTTCCAGCCTCTCTTAGGATATAAATCCTGACAGATATTAATTATAAGTTGTTAACATACCATTACTCAAAGATGTGGTATAGAGCTTAAACCAAAACTCACAAATGACCTGTATAATCGGATTCATAGGATTCTGAAAACAAACTCTTTGCCAGAATAGACATAACTCTGGCTTCCTGTCAAATACTCCTAACATGTCTAGATGAAGAGGAAGATTTCTTAGCTTCCTAGTTTGTATCTTTTCTGTTTTGTACTGTCAGAATGGTTTTAGTCTCTTTCTCACTTCTGTCTTTACCTATCTGGGCTAGCTTTTCTTTAATGAACAAAAATAGCTTAGTGAAACTAAAACCTAACAACAAATAATTTGAAATATTTAAATTATTGGAAGGAAAACCTAATGTAAAGTATTAACAAATTTAAAAAAAAACTATCTTTAAAAATGGCCATAACTATAAGCTGCAAATAACTTGTATTTGGTGTTTTTATCAAATAAAATCAAATAAAACTTTAAAAAGATAATCAGAAATTAAATGATATAAAATAGTGATTAGATATGACTGTTTATAATAATTAAATACAAAATTATTTTATTCCGTTAAAGACAAGAATTTCCAAGGTTAGAAACAGAATAGAAGCAAGCAAGCTCCCTTAAATCCTCTTTAAAGGGACTACTCCTGCTTCTCCCTTCTCCAGTCAGGAGAGGATTCTTCAAATGCTAAAGATCTGGAAGGGCCACCCATCAGGGGATCCTTTTTCCTTTTACAGGAGTAACTGAGCTACTATAATAAGAAATAAAGATCAAATAGAACCAGAGGGCTGGACACAAGGAACAGAGTAACAGCAGCCTGAGGGGAGGGGTAGAGAGGATAATGGTGGAAAGAAGGGGAAGGGACTGGTTAAAGAAAGTGTACGAATGCCCCCTGGACGTGAACAATGGGGGATTGACTGTGGGAGCCTGGAGTGGGCTGGATAGAGAGGGCAAAGGGGGAAAAATTGGGACAAATGTAATAGAATAAAAAATTAAAAAAAGAAAAAAAAAAAAGAAACGAAGATCAGATAAGGACAGAGATTTTAAAAGACTTGCCAAGGTCTTACTTCAGAGGGAAAGGTACTAGGAATTCTCAAGAGCTCCACACTGACAACAAATTCTTTATGTTTTCCCTACCCAGAGACAGAGTACTTAAGGAGATTAATCAGCACAATATGAGTAAAAGAAAGCCAGCTTAAACTTTACTCACATGACATTCACCAATGTCAGAGCTACTTATTTATTTTATTATTGTATTATTTTTACTAATAAATAACTTTAAAGAGGGAAAAAAGAAATCATTGATACCTCAGGACAGTAAATGGAAGATACCTATGAATATCTCGGAATGAGTTTTGATGAGAAGGGAAGATGAGAGGGGAGATAAAGGTAAATCTACAGTCCCAAAGGTTTCAAAAGAAAGCTTTAAGAAACAAGAAGCAGGAAGAAAATATTGGCATCTAGAGTTAAAAACTAGAGCCCAGACAGGAAGTGGTGAAGATAGAGATATAGGAAGGAAACAAAGAAAATGGTTGTAAAAACCTACAGGCCCAGAAATGGGTCCAAGATATAGATGGTACTGGGGAAATTTTGTCTGTCACAAAATTCACACATGGATGTGCATGAGCACATGCACACTTAAGCACAAACTCAAGTCTCCAACATTAGTTTTAGCAGGTTCACGTAGATATAATTAAACTATGCCTTTCACTATACTGTAAGTACATTATATTGTTTGCCAGGTTAATATTCAGTAATTTTATAAATATGGTTCCTAAAGAGTTGCTTATTTATATGAAGTCAATCTACCACAATTAACTTAAATGAATACATAGTTGGTACTGACACTGATTTTCTGAGGTTTTAGAATATTGTGATTTCTTAAAAACAAACAGAACATAAAAAGACCATTAAGAATCTTGGAAACATAATAACATTCTGTTAAGTTTGCACAGTGATACATGATTACTAAAATTAGTGGGCTGATTACACTGTAAGGTATTAAAGTGTAATATAACTAATATAGTATTGTATACCAACTATACTTAAGTTTAAATTAATAATTTTTTAGAAACGAATCCTTTGGAAGAGAATAAAATATTATTAATTAGGAGTCTTAAAATGGTCCTTAGATTCAGTATTAACAATTTTGTAAATTTCTTCTGTTTCTTGGTTAAATAGCAACTGTATAAAGACGTTTATTACTGTAGTATGCCCAGGTATCATAGAGAAAACCTTGGGACCACCTAATTATTCAAACACAGTAGTTAAGTCACAGTATATCATTCCAACAAATTTTATGGCCATTAAACATTAAGATTACTAGAAAGTATGAAAAATATTTATAATGTGTAATTAAATTAAATAAGTAAAATACAAAATTATAGGTAATTTTTGAACACATCTATATGAAACTAAATATTCCCTGCAGAAATGAAAACAACTATTTGGGTAACTTTTTTGTTTTTAAAATAGTTGGAATTTTAGAAAACTGATTTTGCTTTTTTTAATCTTCACCTGAGGATATGTTTATTGATTTTAGAGAATGAAAGGGGAAGAGAGAAACAGAGAGATATAGAAACCTCAATTGGATGCTTCCCATATATACCACAACATGGGATTAAACCTGTAACCTAGGTTATGTGCCCTAACCTGGAATCATACCTGCAACCTTTTGGTGTATGGGACAACAATCCAACCAACTGAGCTACCCTGGTAGGGCAATTGATTTTGCTTTTTATAAAATTGCAATATAAAATGAAAAGATTATGCACACCTTAGTTTCCTTCCTCACATGTGAAATTAAAGACGGATTATGTTATCTCTTTGGTTATTCTGATTCTATATATTGAGAGACTTAGGGAAAACTCGCTAAAATGATACATTTTGAACTAATTTTCCTGAAAAGTAAACTGACACATATTTTAAGAAAATATTATAAATGATCAGATATTGGACTTCTTAAAACATCAGCAGCAAGTACTGATTGGTTTTGTTAATCAAGATCTGCTTTAATAATAAGCCCCTTCCAAATGTGATGGGTAATAAAAGAATCAATAAGTAAATCAATTTTTAAAAGGTAAATGGTAGTGATTTCCTGCTGGGATGTTCTCTTTACTTTGTTAAATTTCTGACCCAGAAGTCTCCAAAAAATACATTCATTACTTAATCTTACCTGAATGAGTCTAACCATGGCTAAAAGCAACTTTTTCACAGATGATTTCTTTCTTGCTTTGCTGAGCTGCCACTTTTGCAAGCTGGAGTCATAAATCTTTCCAATCACAAAGATAATTTTCCTCTAGAATGTTACCCTACAGATCTCTCAGAGGATTAAACACTGCTTCACAGTATCAGTTAGATAAAAGGAGACTGACTCTTCTTTTAAAAACATCGGGTCATGATGTCTGTCCAGTAGGACAGGTGGAGCCCAGATGGAGCAGATTGTTTCCAGAAGTAATAAAGCACTTTGTGGGATTGCTCTTTCAATTATTATCTGGTGAGCAATGGCTAAAAGCAGCAGATAGGCCCCTGGAGTTCAAAGATCCACACTGAATTTTGAAGGTAAAAACTGGTCTTAGGCTCATTGCTTTATTTAGAAAAATGAAGTTTCTCTATTCATGTCTACTTTCTCTCTCACATGCAAAATAAATAAGTAAGTAAGTAAGTAAGTAAAATAAGGCAGAATTGTGCAAGTCATCCCTAAAGTCATTTAATATAGACTTCTGCTTTAAACCAAAACTGACAAAACATTTAATATTCTCCACAAGTTGTGCTGTCAGTTTCTGGAAAACTCCTTGTTGCTTGTAATAAAATTCGCAACTATATTTTGATAGGTAACTGTAACTAATAAATGGTGAAATGCTTTAATTTAGAAAGCCCAAAGTTATTTGGACTAGTTTTCTAATAATCAATGACATTTAACAAAACCATTTTACTCCTTTCTTCTTTTTCAATGAACGGATTAGAAAACTCATTCTCGGTCTTGACTGGGTAGCTCAGTTGGTTAGAGCACTGTCCTCATATGCTGAGGCTTTGGGTTCAATCCACGGTCAGGGGACATGTGAGAAGCAATCAATGAATACATAAATGAATGAGAATAAAAAATCATGTCTTTCTCTCCCTCAGATTAATATATTTTTAAAAAAATTTTTAAAAGAAAACTAATCCCTTGCTAAAAGAGCAAATATTTATGAATATAGCAGTGAATAAAAAAACACATTAATCAAATGACTTGCCATGGGCCAAGCCCTAAATTAAGTGCTTTCATTGAGTAGACCATGTGTTGATGGGCTACCACTTTGTGCCTGTGGTATTTCCATCTCTCATGGGAAATTACTAAATTAAATTTTCATTCCAGGGGCAGGGGGGATGAAGAATCCTCAAGTTTTCTTTAAAAAGTATATCAAACAGGAGGATACTGAGAAGAACATTCAAGGGGAAGCTTGCTCACAGTACAGGATTCTGACTGAAAGGGAAGAGGTAACCAGGGCATAGATGCTTGTAAGAGGATCCTATGTTAACTAAATGCAGGAAACATTCTTAGTGATTTAATATTGAAACAGGTTAAGTCTGGAAGTTATAGTAATCTCTAAGTGGTAGGAGTTAGATTTTTAAGAAGTATTTTTTAAAGATTTAAAAAATTTTTTTTTTTATTTTTAGAGAGAGAGGAAGGGAGGGAGAAAGAGAGGGAGAGAAACATCAATGTGTGGTTGCCTCCTGCATGCCCCTTACTGGGGACCTGGCCCGCAACCCAGGCATGTGCTCTGATTGGGAATCAAACCATCTACTCTTTGGTTCTCAGGCTGGTGCTCAATCCACTGCGGCACACCAGCCAGGGCAAAAGAAGTTGTTTTGTTTTGTTTTTTTAAAAGATTTTAAAAAGAGGGAAAGAAACATCAATGTCTGAGAGACAGACATGGTTGCCTCTTGCATGCCCCCATCCCAGGCATGTGCCCTGACTGGGAATTGAACCAGTGACCGACCTTTCATTTCACAGGGTAGCGCTCAATCCACTGAGCCACACCAGCCAGGACTAAAAAGTAGTTTGAAGGGAGAGGAACCTGGCTTTCTTAGAGCCTATTTGTATGAGCTGGAACAAGTTAGTCGACTTCCCGAGGCTCAGTTTAGAGATAAGAACAATGTCTACATCTCTCTGGGTGGTTAGGATTAAATCATATGTAGCATTTAAAATGCTAAGTGGAGTGCCTAGCATATAGTAAGCAATCATTTAACATTAATGATTATTTCTACTATTACTTGAATACTTCTTTTAAAGTTTCTCCATGCATTCACCTGAATCTTTTATGAAATATAAATTAGACTTAATTGCATATTGACATAAATAATGGCAGGCTCAAAACAAAGAGAACTGCTTTACTATACATTAAAAAACAATCCATCTGCTTCATGTAGTTTCATCTGTTTCATACTTCAATTGACACTTGGATTTTTTAGCATTTGACGATACTTAGGAAATATTCATAAATTTATAACATTTGAGTGATTTGAAATAATGCATTTATATCTAAAAAGTTTATCTGAAAAACTGTATTAGTAATATGTATGAAGTTAATTAATTATTGACTAACTCATTTAACAAATATTTTTGAGAAGTTTCTATAAATAAGGTAGTGTGCTGGGCACTGACTGACTTAAATAAGGAGATAAAACTTCTTCTGTTAGGTTATTTTAAAACTCTTTTCTTTTTTTTGGTATAAAGTATGTCTCATAAGTTCTCTATATTCTACAAATAAGTGTTTTTCAACGTTGGTAACACAACTAACAACCTATTCACATATACCACAGCTTCACATTTTTAAAGTTTCTGATGTCTTTGAGGATGGGTAAACTGAAAGTTAGTGCTATACAAGTAAATTTAGAGAACATCAACTGGCAAAAGGGAATTAAAGAAGAAAAGAGTTATGCATACCTAGGGTTATCTTTTAAAAAGATGGTATTTGCTGACAATTTTTAAAAGTGAATGATCTACCTCCTACAAAAAGTATTTGTGGGAATAGAGATTTTATCTATTAAAAAAGAAACATTTAAATCTGTGTTAATTAATATATGATTATGCTTAAGTATACTTCCTTTTCATATATATCCAAACTACCTACTGCTTGCATAAATGACTTCTAGTATCAAGGTACCATGTGAAAAATTCACATTTACATGTTTAAGAAGTAACATCTGATGAAAATCTAAATATAAACTTTCTTATTCTACTTGATATACTATGTACTAAAAACATTATGCCCTGACTGGTGTGGCTCAGTGGATCGAGTGCCGACCTGTGAACCAAAGGGTCACTGGTTCGGTTCCCAATCAGGCCACAGGCCTGGGTTGCAGGCCAGGTCCCCAGCAGGTGTGAACGAGAGGCAACTACACATTGATGTTTCTCTCCTTCTCTTTCTCCCTGTCTCTAAAAATAAACAAAATCTTAAAAAAAAATTACGTGCTTGGACACAAGTGCTTTAAGGACGGAGTATGGAACAGTGAAACAGGCTTACAATTAAAATGTAGCTAATATAATAAAAGATATCCTTCAGGCAAATATCTGAATTTCAGAGTCAGGTAAGAGAGAAATTATAAATGCTGCTATAACAAAGAACGGTCTTTCTGGATAGTGAAATTACTTTTTAAAAAGATAAACAATATCTATTATTTTAAGTTAAACTTTGGAAAACAGTGTATTTATTCTTCATACTTTTTATTTGATTCCTTTAAGAATGTTAAACATTAAAACAATGTAATAGCCCTTGCCAATGTGGCTCAGTTGGTTGGGCATCATCCTGCAAATCAAAATGTCTTAGGTTCATTTCTTGATCAGGGCACATGCCTAGGTTGCTGGTTTGGTCGCTGGTCAGGGCCCATAGGAAAGGCACCCAATCAATGTTTCTCCCTCATATCATTGTTTGTCCACCTCCTTTCCCATCTCTCTAAAATCAATAAGCATGTGTCAGGTGAGGTTTAAAAAAAACAACCACCTAATAAATTATATATAAAAAAACATGCCCAACAATAAATTAGATTCTCAAGTAGATTAAGATATAAGATTATAAGTGTAATTATTACATTCATCATATCTACTAAGTTGTTAGTGTGGCAAAAGCCTTTTGAGATTATTTGTTGTTATTTTACTAACAATACAAAAGGCAAGGCAGTTCAGCTAAGATAAGTAGAGCACAATAGCGGGAGACTGTTCCTATGGTAAGATCCAGGAAGAAGATGTGAAGATGATACACTGAATGCCAGACATGCCAATCCAAAGGCACTCCCAATTCCCTTGCAATGATACACCCAGTCTGCTGTCATTATAGTCTGCACAGGGACTGGCACATCTGTAACCATGCAAAACCACAAACCTCATTATCTTAATAAACAATCTCAGAACTAAATCCTACTTGTAGGAGTTAAACAATGGTTTTCAGAGGAACTGCAGAAAAAGCCAACTGTTTTGGTAAGACCCTAAATCTAGAGAATAGTATCAGCAATCTACTGAATGATACTTTATTACAGTTAATGGTGAAAATTTGAACTAACAACAGGAATGGCTCATTTTTACATTTCAGTACACAATAAAAAAAAAGAAAATGAGTACAATAGACAGCACTAAGCATCATAGAAAATCAGAGATTCTCCAATAAACATGTCAAATTACCAAATCAATAAACAATTCACATGATTCTTCCCTACAACAAAACAATTTTAACTTGACTTTTATGGTTTTTCTGTTTTAATCCTGACAGTATACCTTGTAGAGAAAAATGTCATTGGGTGTGTCTAAAAATATTTTCAGTGTTCATTGATTTCTATGTAGTTTTACAGTGATAATGTTCCAAAGCAGCTAAATATACTTGATGAGATAAATGCACATGTGGTGCTTAATGTCAAGCAACAGTCTATCTGGCATCAGTAATCAAACAATTACAAAATGGAAAGTACATCTTGTACAAGCTGACAGATTCATTAAATCAGGAGAGTTGTGGGCAGATGTACTGACACTGCAAGAATGACCAGAAAGCATTAATTTCAGCATTAATAAAATGACAGTAAATAGATGAGAGCTGCCAGATGAACTAAGAAATATGGTTACTGGCCTTGTTAAGCTCACGTCTGATTTTCTCAGGCACAAACTGGTCGAGGTAGCGTCTGAAGTGAAGGGCATCGATGGCGACTATTTCAGTGCTGCGCCGCTGCCAGTCGTCCCTGGGGCAGGCCAGAGTAGGGAAATATGAGGAATGGGGAAAGGCACTCACAAAGTAAAACCCTCATATTTTTCTGAGACTTTAGCAAGGTTAAAATATTAAAAACAAAAAACAAACCCATGGCTATAGGTCTCATAAAAACAGGAAGGCAGAAAACATCATTTTATTTTAGATACAAGGCATACACATTTTCAACTGCTAGGCATTAAACAGCAAAATGAAAAATTATGGAGAGACAATAAATATGACATATTGTATATGAGTACATCATTTACAGTGAATCTCAGAGGTTAAAGGATTAGGGGGCAAATAAAAGGAACTTAGGTCTTTGTTTTCCTCTAATACTAAAGACATGGCATATGTACGTTGACAAGAAATCATTCTCTTTTTGTTCTGAAAGATTTGCTCTAGGTCACTGCATATGTAACATCACTATATAGTCAACCAAGAAATAATCCCAAGAAATCAAGTGTTAAAAAAGCTGTGTAATGATTCAGTACAACGTTCTACCTGCAGTGGTCAACTGTTGACTATGATATTATTTTTAAAAAGAAAGAGAGCAAAGCAAATAACACAAAGCAGACAAAATAACACACTGCCTGTGGAAACAGGAAGGACTGGGTGAGATGATTTTGAAAACATGAAATTCCAAGTATTTCATCTCTTATAAACTTGCATACATTGATATGCCACTCTGAAAAATAGCAATAAAAAACCTTCAGGTTACTCTGTAAAAAATTATCATGAATTAAATATCCACATGGATAACTGCTACCACCACATATTTTAACAAAAACAAAGGAAAAGAGATCAGGGACTGGACTGAGATATTACAAAGAATAAGTTTGTATGGCTACATGAGCAATACCTGATTCTTTCTGCCACAAAGACTCTCTCTTTTTAATTGATTAATCCTGTCACTTTTCTTTCTTGGCCCCATAACCCCTTTGCCCTCTGACAGCTGTCAGTCTTTTCTCTACCTATGATTTGATTTCAATTCTATTTTGTTTCAAGTTTATTTGTTCATTAGATTCCACATTTAAACGAGATCATATGGTATTTGTCTTTCCCTGACTGGCTTATTTCACTCAGCATAATACTATCCAGGTCCATCCATGCTATTGCAAAAGGTAAGTCTTCCTTCTTTTTTACACCCAAGTAGTACTCCATTGTGTTAAATGTGCCACAGCTTTTTTATCTACTCATCTACTGATGGACACTTGCACTGCTTCCAAATCTTGGCTATTGTAAATAATGCTGCAATAAACATAAGGGTGCCTACATTCTTTCCAATTAGTATTTGGACTTAATCCCAGAAGTGAAATTCCTGGGTCATAAACCAGTTCCATTTTAAATTTCTGTGGTAACTCCATCCTGTTTCCCATAGTGGCTGCACCAATCAGCATTTCCACCAACAGTGCATGAAGGTTCCTTTTTCTCCACATCTTTGCTAACACTTGTTGTTTGGTTTATTGATGATACCCATTCTGACAGATGTGTGGTGATATCTCCTTGTGGTTTTAATTTGCGTTTCTCTGGTGATCAGTGATGTTGAGCTTTTTTTATATGCCTATTGACCATCTGAATATTCTCTTTGGAGAAGTGTCTATTCAGGCCCTTTGCTCATATTTTAATTGGATTGTATGTTTTTTTTGGTGGTGAGTTGTATGAGTTCTTCATAAAATTAGGGTATTAGGCCCTTATCAGATGTATTGATGAATATGTTCTCCCATTCAGTTGGTTGTCTTTTCAATATGCTGACAGATTCCTCTGCTGTACAAAAGCTTTTTAGTTTTAGTTTGTTAATTGTTCCATTTGTTTCCCTTGCCCAAAGAGACATATGAGAAAAGTATTGGTATGTAAAATGTCTGAGATTTTGCTACCTATGTTTTCTTTTAGGATTTCCATGGTTTCAAGCCTAACGTTTAAGTCTGTAATCCATTTTAAGTTTATTCTTGTGAATGGTGCAGAAGATGGTCTAGTTACACTTTTTATACATACCTATCCAACCTTCCCAACACGATTTATTGAATAGTCTATCTTGGCACCATTGTATGCTTTTGCCTCCTTTGTCAAATATTAATTGATCATATTGGCGTAGATTTATTTCTGGGCTCTCTATTCTGTTCCATTGATCTATGTGTCTGTTCTTATGCCAGTACCACACTGTTTTACTTACTATGGCCTTCTTCTATAGGTTGATATCAGGTATCAGGATTCTTCCAACTTTGTTCAGCTCTTCTTTCTCAGGATGGCTGTGGCTATGTTGGGCCTTTTGTGGTTCCATATAAGTGTTTGAAATATTTGTTCTAGTTCTGTGAAATATGCCATTGGAATCTTGACAGGAACTGTGTTGAATCTATAGATTGCTTTGGGTAGCATGGAAATTTTAATGATGTCAGTTCCTTGTATCCATGAACACGGTGTGTGTTTCCACTTGTTTGTATCTTCTTCAATTTCCTCCTTCAGTTTCTTAGTTTTCAGAGTACAGGTCTTTCAAATCCTTGGTTCAATTTATTCTTTAGGTATTTTATTTTTTGTAGCAGTTGTGAATGGGATTGTTTTCTTAATTTCCCTTTCTGTTAGTTCGTTATTGGCATATAAAATGCAGTGGATTTCTGGATATTAATTTTGTATCCTGCTACTTTGTTGAATTCATTTATCAATTCTAGTTGTTTCTTGGTGGAATCTTCGGCGTTCTCTATGTACAGTATGATGTCATCTGCAAATAAAGACAGTTTTACTTCTTCCTTTCCAATTTGGATGTCTCTTATTTCTTCTTCTTGTCTGATTGCTGTGGCTAGGACTTCCAGTGCTGTGTTACATAAGAGTGGTGAAAACGAACATCCCTGTCTTGTTCCCAGTCTTAAGGGCAATGCGTGTACTTTTTGCTCATTGAATGTGATGCTGGCAGAGGGTTTGTTATATATGGCCTTTATTATGTTGAGGTATGTTCCCTCTATTCACTTTGCTGAGAGTTTTTATCATGAATGGGTGCTGGGTTTTATCAAATGCATTTTCTGCATCTATTGATATGATGATGTGTTTTTTATCTTTCATTTTGTTTATGTGATATATCACGTTTATTGATTGGCAGATATTGTGCCAATCTTGCATCCTCAGAATAAATCCCACTTGAGCATGGTGTATGATCTGTTTAATGTATTGCTCTATTTGGTTTGCTAATATTTTGTTGAGGATTTTAGCATCTATGTTCATCAGGGATGTTGGCTTATAATTATCTTTCTTTGTAGTTCCTTCATGAGGTTTCGGAGTTACGATAATGCCAGCCCCGTAAAATGAGCTGAGTCTTCTCTCCTCCTGAAATTTTTGCAATACTTTGAGAAGGAGAAGTGTTAGTTCTTTGAATGTTTGGTAAAATTCTCCTGTGAAGCCATTTGGTCCAGTACTTTTGTTTGGTGAGAGTTTTTTGATTACTGTTCAGCTTCACTAGCTGAAATCTATTGAGATTCTCTGATTCTTTCTGATTTAGCTTTAGAAGATTGTATGTTTCTAGAAATTTATCCATTTCATCCAGTTGTCTGATTTGTTGGCATATAGTTGTTCATAATATTTTTCTAGAATCTTTTGTGTTTCTTTGGTGTCAGTTGTTACTTCTCTTTACTTTCAGATATTATTTATTTGGGTCCTCTCTCATATTTTCTTAATGAGTCTGGTTAAAGGTTTATCAATCTTGCCTATCTTTTCAATTTCGAAGCTCCTGGATTCCACTCATCTTTTGTATTATTTTCTTAGCCTCTATTTAATTTATTTCCTCTCTGACCTTCCTTATTTCCTTTTTCTTCTCACTTTGGGCTTTGTTTGTTGTTCTTTTTCAAGCTCTTTTAAGTGTAAAGTTAGACTGTTTTCTTATTTCTTGATGTGGGCCTGTAATGCTATGAATTTCCCTCTTAGGACTGCTTTCGCTGTGTCCCACAGATGTTGTGTTGTTGTGTTCTTACTTTCATTTCTTTCAAGGAGTCTTTCAATTTCTTCGTTGATCTCATTGTTGACCTATTAACTCTTTAGTAACATCTTATTTAGCCTCCATATCTTTGTGTATTTTTCTTGTGATTTATTTCTAGTTTCATATCATTATGATCAGAGAAGATGCTTGATAGATTTCAATTTTCTTAAATCTACTGAGACATTTTTGTGTCCTAACATGTGGCCTATCCTATAAAATATTTCTTGTGTACTTGAAAAGTATGTATATTCTGCTGCTTGCGGGAAAATGCTCTGAAGGTATGAATTAAATCTATCTACTCTAGTGTGTCATTTAAGGCCTGTTTGCTTGATGATTTTCTGTCTGGAAAAACTATCCATTTATATAAATGGGGTGTTAAAATCACCTACTATGATTGTATTACTGTCAGTCTCTCACTATATGTCCGTGAAGATTTGCTTTACATATTTAGGTGTTCCTTTATTGGGTGCATAAATGCTTATAAGGATTATGTCTGGCTTGTTGCAGTGCTCCTTTTTTCATTAGGTAGTGTCCTTCCTTGTCTCTTACTACAGTCTATTTTTTCAGATATTATATATTGCTACCCTAGCTTTTTTCTCCTTTTATTTGCATGAAATGTCTCTTTCCATTTCCTTACTTTTAGTTTGTGTGTGTGTGTCTTTCATTCTGAGGTGGGTCTCTTGTAGACAGCATATATATGGGTCTTGTTTTCTTATCCATTCAGCTATGCTCTGTGTTTTGATTAAATCATTTAAACCCATAATGTCTCTTTCCATTAGAACACATGCACACACAAGCCTTCAGTTTTCATTCCATAGAAATTCACTTGTGTTAGACCAATTTAGCGGGGAAGCAAGAACATGTTAAAATATATTTCAATAAAAAATAGGAGACAGCATTAGCAATGCTCACTGTACTTTCTCCTGTCAGTTGAAACATGACATTAGGCAAATTGTCTGAACATAGATTTCTCCCTCCTACCTAATCTCCCAGAAGGGTTAATTACACAGTTTAAGGGCTTTAAGCTATAACTACAATCTATCCTAGTAAGTTTGACCTTGCAGGTTAACCTCCATTGACTGCTAATATTTGGCAGCTAAGATGTAAGAACTACAGACTTCCGCATTTATTTCTCTTTTCTTTCTTTTGTTATATGAAATGGTAATATTGTTATAATTACTAATGAACCTGTAATACTGAATTTTAAAAGAAAGATAAACCTAAAATAAAAATAAATGGGAGACAGAATGTATGAGGCCACATTCCTTAGCTTTTTGGTTATGCAATACTAAAATCAGAAGTGAACTCACCTTTCATTCCCATCTTCATGGCTCCGGGCCCAACGATACGTTTCAGCATAGCCTGTATATTCACTGTACTGTTCAGTACCTGAAACAAATAATCTGCCAATATTATTTTTCAGAAATATTTTCTTAAAAGCTGCTCCTTCTAAAGAAAAACAACAATGAAAAACCATTGGTGTTAATGATTTTTAAATATTTCCTATAAAGAAAAAAAATGATGTCTCCAAAAGCTACTATAATGTTGATCATACAGTGACTGAATGTCTCAATCAACATAGAAAACAAAATATGCCTTAAAATTCATTTCCTTCTTTTATGAGGAGTACATAAAGACTGTGTTTTATAAAGTCCACTGTTTTCAATGTCAGTAACCTAATAATATTATGTTTGTATTGTTGAGAAAAGAAATTTTACATAAAGATATTCTCTGCAAGTGTCATTAAAATTAAATCTAGGATTTCCCTATCAACAGGCAAGACACTTCAAAAAAGCTTTATAAAACTAGGATATTATGGCAAGAGAAGGGATGGGAAAAAGGCATAATTAACACTAACTTGATGAGAACATGCACTAAGCTTACCAGATAACATAGATTTTTAATTAATTATACCTGAACATATCTGGAGAAAGGGTGTCAAACTGTTCCACAATTTAACTAAACAAGCTCATTCCAGTTCCTATGACTAGGTCAGTAATCAGTTGACTTTTGAAGAATTGAGTAAAAATGAAGAGCTGAAAACTCTGAGTAAAATAATACTTTTGCATGTAAAAAACAAAACAAAACAAAAAAACAGAAGACGCTAGACAACATTGATAACTAAGATTAATGGGTTTTTTTAGTACAATTGCCCTGATTTTGCCATCAGACTGACTCTTTGCGGTAGCTGAACTGCTATTTGTTAACGAATGACTACTCATGTAATAAAGGTCCAATGCTGATATATTTATCACAAAGACAATATTCAGGAAAAAAATAAATATGCAGTGTTTGAGAAAATACAAATATATAAAAATAGAGAACATATTTAATAAAAAATAAAAAGAACACAAAATCAAATTATGACATGCTAATTATGAACTATCATTCTTTATCCAAAACTAAATTAATTTCATTTTGGGGGTTGGGGTAACTTCTTACATGCTTAAACAACTCTGAATCATTTTTTTTAAATCCTTGCCAAAGGACACATTTATCGATTTTACAGAGGTAGGAAGGTAGGGAGGGAGGGAGGGAGGAAGACACAGAGAAGAGACATTGATTGGTTGCCTCCTGTACATGCCCTGACCAGGAATTGAATCTGCAACCTAGGTATTTACCCTGACCAAGAATCAAACCTGCAAACTTTTGGTGTACAGGATAATGCTCCAACTAACTGGGTCACCAGGCCAGGACACAACTCTGAATCTTTTACACACAAAGAATAATAAATGTAGTGATCAAGATTACAAATGGCCTCTACATACAACTATCAATAGAGAACAGAGGAACATATTAAATGTCACTATGAAAATAAGAACAGCAAAATTCAGACAATGGCAAACTCTATTAATATACAGTATGGAGTGCTTATAAAAAAAAAGGTAAGGAAAGAAAGAGGGAAGAACCTATAAATTAAAAGAAACACACATGAAAACACTAAAATAAGAAAGTGGGCATAGCTATATTAATACTGCATAAAACTGACTTCAGCTCAGAGAATAATGAAAGATAAAATGGAACACTTCATAATGATAAAAGGGTTAATTCATCAGAAAGGTGTAACGATTATACTTTATTTTGGTTTACCATTTGAAAAATCAACGAAGGTAATCCATATTAACAGATTAAAGAATCACACATAGTCATGTCAAAAGTTGCAGGAAAGATAAAATTCAACACCCATTCATTATTAAAACTTGGCAAAACTGAGAGTAAAGAAAAACTTCCTCAATCTGAGTAAGGATCAGTACGTAAAACCTTACAACTAACTTCATATTCAATATTGAAAATATTCCACCTAGGGAATTATGGTCAAGACAGAGGCGTATGCAGACATGCTACGTCTCCTTGCACAACCACAGAAAGAATTATAACTAAATCTTAAAACAAAAAACACCCAGAACTGTGAGATAATTGAGAGGTATGGAAGTCCGACAACCAAGGATTTAAAAAAGCCACATTCATCCAGACAGATAGGAGGGGCAGACTTGCGGAGAGACAGGTAGAGAGGTGTGGAGATGCAGAGTGGCAAGGAAAGGCAGCAGTGGAATGGATGATTGATCCCACATTCATGTATGGTAGATAAAAATTGGGAGATATACCTTGGAAACAAGCAATCCCAGCACCAGGCCAGACCTCACAGCCCGGGGTTCCAGCAGTAGGAAGATAAATCTCTATAACTTCTGGCTGTAAAAATCAGTGGAGTTTGGGGTGGTGGGAGAAACTGCTGGATTTTCAGGAGACTCGGCTTAAAGGGCCCCCATTGACTGAGAACATATGCAAACCCACAAACACTGGGATTCACCACCAGGGCAAAAGCTGGAAGGGCTCTAGTCACATAATAGGGAATAGGTGAAGTGACTAGAAAATGGGCAAGTGCTGGACAAACCTCCAGAAGCCAGGACATTGTCTCTGCTCTGAGCACTCCCCCAACATTGAGCCATAATGAAGTGAAGCAGGTGGCATGCCCTGGCCATTACCTAAGGCTCTGCCTCACACAATTTACAGGTGTCTTTTCTACAACAGGCCACACTACTAACAGGGAGTCAAAGCAGCTCTACCTAATACACAAAAACAAACACAGGGAGGTTGCCAAAATGAGGAGACAAAGCACTATGGCCCAAATGAAACAACACAACAAAAACCCAGAAAAAGAACTAAACAAAATGGAGATAACCAGCCTATCAGATGCAGAGTTCAAAATACTGGTTCAAAATCAAGATGCTCGAGGAACTCACTGAGTATGTCAAAAACGTAAAGGAAGACATGATGGTTACCTTAAGTGAAATAAAGATCTACAGGGAACCATCAGCGGAGGGCAGGAAGTCAGGATTCAAATAAACAATTTGGAACATAAGAAAGAAATAAGCATTCAACGAGGATAGTAAGAAGAAAAAAGAAATTAAAAAAAAAATGGAGACAGTATAAGGGCCCTCTGGGACATCTCCAAACATACCAATATCTGAATCATAGTGTTGCCAGAAGGAGAAGAGGAAGAACAAGGAATTGAAAACTTGTATGAAAAAGTAATGAAAGAAAACTTCCCTAATTTGGCAAAGGAAATAGAAATACAAGTCCAGGAAGCACAGACAATCCCAATTAAGTTGGACCCAAAGAGGACCCACCAAGATACATCATAATTAAAATGCCAAAGGTTAAAGATAAAGAATCTTTAAAAGCAGCAAGAGGAAAGCAAAGAGTTACCTACAAAGGAGTTCCCTTAAGACTATCCCCTCATTTCTCAAAAAAAACAAACAAACAAAAAAACAACTTTACAGGCTAGAAGGGACTGGCAAGAAGTATTCAAAGTCATGAAAAGCAAGGACCTAGAACCGAGATTACTCTATCCAGCAAAGCTATCATTTAGAATGGAAGGGCAGACAGATAAAGTGCTTCCCAAAGAAAGTAAAGTTAAAGGAGTTCATTATCACTGAGCAATTATTACATGTAATGTTAATCAGACTTATTTAACAAAAAGAAGATCAAAACTGTTAATATTAAAATGGTAACAAATTCACAACTATTAACAACTGAATCTAAAAAACTAAGCAAGCAAGCGGAACAGAAACAGAATTATAGATATGGAGCGTATTTGGAGGGTTATCAGCTGGGACGGGGAAGGGAGAAAAAGGGGGAAAAGGTGCAGGAATTAAGAAGCATAACTGGTAGGTACAAAAGAGAAAGGATGATGATAAGAATATTATAGGAAATGGACAAGCCAAAAAATTTATATTCATGAGCCATGGACATGAACTAAGGTAATTGCTGGAGAGAAGGAGCATACTGGGTGGAGGAGGGCAAAGGGGAAAAAATTTGGACAACTGTAATAGCATAATCAATAAAATATATTTTAAAAAAGAAAACATTTCATGTAAGATCTCTTAAAAAACAAAATTCAACTGAGTAAATTTTAAGGATCTTATTGGATTTATTCAGAGATTTATGATTCAGGCAGCATCCAATCTAGGAGAGAAAAAGGAGATCTAAAGACCTGTAAATAATAATAGACTTATAGGAACAAGGGAGTAAGACAAGGAAGTTATAAAAACAAACAACACATTATTTCAGGCAATGTCATTTTTTTTATGGAAAGGCAGGGGTCTATCAGCAGATTATCTCACTAGTGCTGACACAGTAATTCCAGATTGACTGGTATAAAATTCTACTCCTGGGGGAGGCAAAAACTGTTATGCATAAGTCTTGGCTTAGTGATGTGGGCTTAGCACAATGACTCTATTTTGGGCTTTTTGTCTCTTTTTTGACAAATCAAAGCAAGGATTATCACTCTCACCACTTCTATTCAACACTATGGTGAAGGTGCCAGCCACTGCAATAAGGCAATAAATGAAATAAAAGTAAAAAAGAGTGTAAAAATGTAAGTAAGACTGTTGCTATTTGCAGATGTCATGATTGTTTATGTAGCAAAGCCTAAGGAATCACTAAGAAAGGAACAGAGGATAGGTGGGGGAAAGTGGGAGGGAGAGGAAAAAAGAAAAGAAGCTCAAGTAAATTTAGTAAGATCAAAGGTATATCTATACACCAGCAGCAAACTGAGAAGACAAAATGCTTTAAAAATGTGTTAACCCTATAGAGGTTGTGGTCAAAAAAATTACAGTGTAGGTTGCATGCATCCGAAAGATACATTCACTACTAGTATGTGCTGAAATGCGAAAAAGAATTTAAAAACACTGCAAATTTACAATTATTATATATATCTCCTCAGGCAAAGGAAACAAAAGAAAAGCTAACAGATGGGACTGCATCAAACTAAAAATCTTTTGTACAGCAAAGGAAACTATCAACAAATTGAAAAGATGATCCACTGAATGGGAGAACCTATTCATCAATACATGTCATAAGGGATTAACATCCTAAATTTATAAAGA